CCCCCCCCCTCCCACACACACACACACATACACCCTTTTTGATACTCAGGGACTGGTCACAAAATCGTTCACGTTTTCATCAGATTACGACATCCTATTTAGCATGTTGACATGGAAACAGTTGAATCTTTTACATATTGTCACATCTATGCAGTGAATTTATTGTCGAGCTTTATTTCGCTTCGCTTCTGAATTTAGGCAATGAGTTAAAACGGGACGCATTAAAAAGCGATGTATGTAAGTATTGAAGGAAATTTATGACAACATTTAAAATAATTTATTGTTAGCTGGGAGTAACACAGGTGGCAGTTTAGCAGGGAAGTTTAACTTCTCTGAGTCCCGAATTTTCGTTGTAAAAACCACCTACAGTACACTGTGGACTCCGGGTAAACCTGCTTCCTGGGTGGAGTTCGGTAAATTTGTCTCCGCGTTGGACTTTGGGGTTGCTTTTCTACATGGTAAATACGCACACAGCCTGGTGACGCTTTAATTTAAAGGTGGAAGTTATATATCTGTTCAGAGAGAACAGAGCTAGACTTCATTACGTAACCGCTGCTCAGATGACATAATGGACATAATGTTCTCAAGCCTCTTCAGGTGAAACGGAGATCTGGGGAGATTGTCCTTGATTAAATAGCGCGGACACATCTGTATTCACAGACACGTAATAGAAAACGAGTTTGACTGCTACGTATACCGTTGTTCTGAAAGGACCGCCCGCTGTCATGATTCATCCGTTTTAATACCAGGTATGACTCTCTGCACTTCTGTGTGAAGGGACCATACAATATCGATGATCCACGAGGGGACAAACAGCTCTTTGGACTATTTTTAAGTACTTAAAAGTGCTTTTTAAAGAGTAACATTGAAGTATTCTCATCCATTAAGCATAAGAAGGGAGTTGACCCTCATCTTCATTGTGTTAAAACTTGACGCTGATGCATTGGCTGTAACCGTCACTAGGATAACCACAGGTGCTTGCACATATCAGGATTTTTGCCCCTTACAGGAATTGCGCAGTATTGTATTTTAAGTTGGCTCACTGTCATCAACACGCACATTCCCACTGTCGAGTGGGAGGCTTGACTTGTCCACTTTTGCCGCCTACTTAACGTGGTCCTTAAAGGGAGAAAATAACGTAGGATTATCACAGGGGTGACATGTATTTGGGCCGCTGCGAGGCGTTTGTTTTGGCGTTAGTTTCAATCAGTCAGTTGTTCCTACGCGATGGCGTGACGGCAAGTCAGGAGACCTCGCTTCGCGAGACCTCCACCTCTGTCCCGGGACGTGTCGTATTAGAGGACATTATTTCCAAACATCAGCCAAACGCCACCGCCACGAACTCATCAAGGTCGTCTCCACCCTACGGCATCGTGTCTGGAAAATCGGGAAACATAACGACACCTGTGTTTTGCCTGGAGTGTTTAACGTGTCACTCGGGGGTGGGCAAACACAGCCGGTGCACTACAGTTGGAGAAGCCCCGTTATTGCAGCCGGAACAAGGGCTGACGGTGATACCGTTTCTGGCCGTGGCTGCCTTCTTCGTGGCCTTCATCTTGAAATGCGCGGACTGGGTTCGCGAGGATGTGTATTACACGGATTTTGAAGAAGAAAACGAGTATCAGACCACGGTGGCTCACGGGTTGTACAGCATCAAACCAGACTTGTCTAGCATGGTTGCCTGGGTGAAACAATGGGCGCCGAGCAAACCGCCGGATGACAGCACTATTGGGAAGGACACCATGGAAACGCAACCTAGCGACGAGAATGGGAATCAAACTCCGTTTAAACAAGGTGGCAGGGAACAACCGGAGGCGGAAGTGCAATCGGTGTCGTCTGCTCGAGAAAATTTTAAAAAGCCTGTAGGGGTTACTTTTTGTCACGTTGCTGAAATCAATTTTGACTTCTCGCCTGGATACAGAGAGAAAATTCTGACGCAGGAGACGCCGTCAACCGACATCGACCTTACTGTTGTCCCAAAAACCACAAGTTGACAGGCATTAACCTATTACCTGGACACGTTGACTGAACTATCTCAATACGTGGGTGACATTGCACGTGGATGATACACCGCATAATGGATGCAAACCCGCTGTAAGGCCACGCAGACTTCAGCTTCAGGCACAACAAGAACGGCACTGTTTAGACTGTAACGTTAAATATGTTGCCGTCGGCTGAAGTGGAATGTTATCAGCCAAACATGTATATTTACCTCCGCCAAGGAGGTAGTTTTCACCCCTGCTAGTCTGTCTGTTTGTTTGTCATCACCATAACTCAAAAAGTTATGGACCGATTTTGATGACATTTTCAGGAACTGTCAGAAGTGGGCCAAAGAAGAGATGATTAGTTTTTGGTGGTGATCAGGATCAATAATCAATCAATAAACAATAACAAACAAAAATCGCTGCCCTGGCGGAGGTCTGCGCTCTCGGAGTGCTTTTCTAGTATGATATATAACGGACCGCGGATTTAAACAACTGGGTAAGCTTGTGTGCTGGTAAGGTCAATGTTGTACTCCATCACCTTGGACTGACGAAAGAAGAGTATTGGACTGTTTATGCCACGCATTCAACCCGCGAAAGAACGGGTGTATTAGGATATGGATTATAAGACGTGAATAAATATTCCTTTCTGCTTATAAAACAATGCTACTTAACCAGGGATATAAGGACTTTCCCAGGCTTCGGCTCTGTGTGAACGGTTTTAAATTTTTTTGACAAAACAAAGAAAGTTCTCATATTCTGTAGTTAAAACTTGTTAAATTTATTACATATTTTCATATAAAAGTAAATGGATTTTTCACAGAAAAAACCAAACAAACAAAAAAAAAAAAAAAAAGAAGCTTTTGCAAAGTCAGACAAGCAGTGACGTCACTGTGTCAGACTATTTAGCATTGTGCTTTTTTGGCTTATCACCAGAGGGCTAAGATATCGACTGTATTTTCAGTATCAGTGTCCAGTTTTTTAGACAAAACTGGACTGATAAGTAATAAAACTTTAAGTCTTTTATTCATCGTCTTTAAATTACTTTCTAAAATTTCTAAAACGTGTAAGTTGTAAGTTTATACACCATAGACATCCCTAAGGTGCACACGTTACCTTATGGTAAGAAAAAATATACTGCAAATATACTGGACACTTTGCCCAATATATTCATCAATTTTCACTATGTCTTTAACAACCATATTTCAACCATATTTCCCACGACACTGGCAATCCTGCCCCTGTCACGAAGGATGTCATATCATTGTTTTCGTGGAGCACAATAGGTCACTCCTTGGCACAATAAGTGACTCCTTGGCACAAGAGGTCACTACTTGGCACAATAAGTCACACCAGGGCACAATAGTTCGCACCAGGGCACAATAGGTCACACCAGGAAGAGACACCAGTTCAGTATTCCTTCAGTATGTTATGTCCAGTGGTGTGACATGTGACCAGATGTTGTGTCATATTATCTGTGGAGTCTTTGTTTTAAGTAGGTCTATCATTTATGGGGTCTGTTTAAAGAATGTTCTGAGTTGTGACATTATAAATGTTATGTCTTATCATCTGTAGGGTCTTTGTTTCTCATTTTTTCCAGCTCCTGTACCCAGTCTTGTATCGTCTGGTGTTTGAATTTACCTGGAAATTGTAAATAAAATATACTAGCAAAATATATCTAGCAAAAAGTGACAAAATAGATTTTATAACTTTGACAGTCTGTACTAGCTTTGATCTCAAGTATTAACTTGTTTCTAACATTTAAATCACACATTTCCCAGGCAGAGCAGTATGCAAGGTTCCCTGATGTATAAAACAGAAACACTTTTTCATGACACGTGACTCTTCAATGGAATGACTGCCACAGTTTTAAAATCAAAAGAAAAAAACGCCATTCAAGGAGGTCTGTGACTCAAAGCTGGAACCTCTACTGCATGGATGTATGCCATTCTCAAATAACCACCGGTAGAGTGTACCTGATAGAATCTGAACTTAGTGTTCATTTTCTTTCTTGTTATTGTGTCATCTGATGTCATCTATATGCAGCTGCCTGTCTACTGCAGTATGTTCTGCAGACAGCCAAATAGCCTTGACCTCATAGCAGGGCTTTTCCCAGGATTGGGGGTACAAGCTGTCCAAAATTACCACCTGTAATTTCCTACAAAATTTTAGGGAGTCCAAGTATGCCAAAAGCTGTCATATTTCCAAAAAATCCATAAGCTGTCCAGCAGTCTTTGAAAACATAGGTTGTCCGATTATGCTGGCAGCTGTCCAAAACTCTGGGAAAACCCTTGCCAAAGAATGAAAATTTTAACTTGCAACTACCTGAGAAACAATCACATTTGATGTACCAAAACCCATGTGGACAGAACCCAAAATACTACTTCCAGTGTGCTCTCACCTTTTGTAGAGTCAAAGAAATCCTGCAACTCTCCTGGCCTACTTTGTTCTCTCTCGTATTCATACGCCTGCAGAATCATCTCAAATCTGTCTATGTCCTTGACATAAGCTGCTTCCTTGGATGTCTGCTGCTCATACTCCTGAGGAAAAATTGTGATAGGTGAGATATGCTGTCCTAATAAACACAATGACAGTATGGTCATGATTCCATCTTTTCAATGGGAGAAATGGTGAATTATAAGGGTAATGTCTTTTTTGAGGTCATAAATTCTCAAAATTGGAACATAACAACTGAGTGGTAAAATGAAACTGAAAAGCAAGTTACCCTATCATTCTTTTTTCAACAGTAAATGCACCACAAATGCTATATAAGAATATAAATTTTATGATATCCAAATTATGTACCAATAATTATAATAATAATTCCCATTGAAAAGATCTAGTAATTACCATACTATAACAAAATAAATATATCTACAGCAATAATTTATTGTTTCTACATTTTTACCTTTGAGTAACTGTGTTTTGCAACATGCTTTTGGTGTACAGCTACCTGTGTTTACTTTGCTATTAAATGAAATAACTGGTCAAGCTATCTCGGTGTTAAGGTTTGGTACCATTATGGCACTGCACTAGTATCTGAGTCTGCTTAACCATCCATAGGTCAATGACCTCTGTGCCTTACCATCCACAGGTCAATGACCTCTGTACCTTACCACCTACAGGTCAATGACCTCTGTGCCTTACCATCCACAGATCGATGACCTCTGTTCCTATATCCCCTGGCAGTAAACTTGTGATGTGATTCATTGCATCCTGTAAAGAACATAACAGATTTCACTTGTGATTTGAGTCAGACATGCTTTTTTCAAATATAAAACCTGACATTTCATAGGGTGATTTTATCACCTGAAATAGTGTGATGTTATTACTTTGAAATTTCAAATTATTCTTAATTAATTATCAAAAACAAAATGAAATGTGATAAATTAAATTAACTGTTTCGAATAAGTAGATTCTAAACCAACAATGAGAACTTTTATGACAACTAATTAGTCAACTGGTTTAAACCATTGGACCATACTAATGTCCCAAACAGTAGGCTCTCCAACCTTCTCTTTTCTGTGTTTCTCCTCCTTGCTGATGCCGCATGCTGGAGTGATGTCTCCCACCAGGCTCTCTGCCATGTCATGAACCAGGGCCAGTTTTAAACATCTGGAATACAATACAACACAATACAATTCAATACAATACAGTGCAACACAATGCAATACAATACCATACTGTATACTAATGTAATGCAATGCAATGCGATGTAAAGTAATGTAATGCAATGTCATACTGTGTGATGTTCAAAATTAAGGGTGGTCCCCCTCACTCTCATTGGTCAGTTCAGTATAATTTTATGCTTCTATTTGAACATTTTATCTTTAGATTGGATCACTTTATTATTCCCAAGTTAACAATATCTAATATGCATGATTTCAGATTTAACAGATTACAATTTGAATCAATGAAATGTTCAGCATCCCGTCTTCATTGTAGCTTATAATCTTCAGACGGGATCAGTTAATTATCCCAAGCTAAAAAATTTCTTCAGTAGATATGCAAATTTATTTATCCAATTATGAATATTTAATTTCTTCTTTCAAAAACTATTGAGGTTTGTAAAATCATCTCTGTTATATTTGTATATGCCCTGTATCAGAAGAAGGCCGAGTCAGTACACAAACTGTATTAGAAGAAGGCCAAGTCATTATACACCTTGTATTAGAAGGGAGAATTTTCATACACCTTATTAGAAGTTGGAAGTTGAATGTTCTCTGTATTCGTTGGAAAAAAGAAGAGTCAGTATACATACTGTATTAGAAGAAGGAAGAGGTTCTTAAATGCCCTGTATTAGAAGCCAGAGAATACCTGTACAGTACAAACTGTTATAGAAGAAGAGAAGTTTTTGTACATCCTGTATTAGCAGGATGACATAGCTTTCATACACCCTGTATTAGAAAGAAAACAGTTTTTATACACCCTGTATTAGAAGGAAGAAAGAATTAAGCACAGTATATTAGAGGAAGACAGTGTTTCTCTACACCCTGTAATAATAAAGCCATATACCTGTCTCTGTTAATGCCGTCATTGTCTCCAAGTGCCAGTGTCATGACTGCCATTCTGTACATGTGGTCAGACACACTCTCGGGCTGCGCCACATGTCTCTGAACCCACCCAGCTCGCACTGTACGCTGTAACAAGGTATCATGATGTAACCATTAATGTACAATGTAGCTTTTAAATGGGATACGGTATATATGGATTGACTGTGCTTTTAATTTTAATATGAAATAATTCAAGAGGAACAGGAAAGTGCATCAAAACTGATTTAAATGTGCTTATTTAACAATATAGCTTACAGTACTTCGATCTTGATATAGATATTTATGATAATGAACAGTACGCAACTTCCTTGGTCTGTCCATTCACTTAACCCCCCCCCCCCCCCCCAAGCCTGGGTCTGCTTATTCACCTACCCCCTTTTGGGAGAAACCTGGTTTTACCAATGCACTCCTCCGACACCACTTTACCATATTGCTGTGGTTTTAGTAAAACGTTAGATGCGTGGTGTAAACTTGTACTGCCAGTAAACTTGAATGTAAAGGCTAAGTGGTCAAACACCAAAACGGTGTATGTTCACACGTTATTAACAAAAATGTTGATCGTGATTACCTTCAATCGCCCAACCACCATGAAAAACTCCAGAAGTCCTGAGACTTTCCCTGCCATAATGAAAATATACTTGACTCTGAATGGTCTTGAACTGTAAACAACACTGGTTTGCACGTGTGACTCCTTCCAAGACTGACTTCCTTTCTGTTAGTTAGCCGCATTTTAATTGGCTGAAGCTACCAACTTGACAACAAAACGTAATCATGAATCTCGATTTAGAACTATGTAATATTTATGCTTGTATCGAAAGCGAGGCTTCCTCAAGGAGAGTTAACGAAAAATGGCTGCGACCATGCTGCTGAAACATGTCAGATTTTTCAGACGGATTTATCCCAACTTTTGCAGCATTTCTCGCGCTTATGCATCTGAGACGAGTACACCACAACCCACAGCATCTACAGAAATAGACAGCTCGCCTGATTCCAAAGATCAAGAAATAACTGATACAAAACCTACGGAAAATATATTTGCTGACAACGAGAACACGTTCTACTCCCTTCTGCGCCGCTCCAAATGGATGCAGCTCGGAGATCCAATGGGCAAGGAGGTAGTGGGCACGATAAAGCAAATCCAAGGGAATGATATCTACATAGATATAGGACACAAATTCTATTGCATATGCGAAAAACCAAGGATCGAAGGAAGCTACTGGTATGCAGTTTATGGCTGTGTTCAGAATAGAAGTTATCGTACAGGCGGGGTCGATCTTTCTCAGTAGAGATTTTCACTAAGGCATTGTCAGTGCAATCAGTTTAATTGTCTAGCAGGCCCCCTCGTAACTTGAAGTACTTGGGTAAAGTCGGGAAAACTGAGTGGTCCATGATGTAGTTCATGTTACTGTGCTGGGAAGGGGGGGGGGGGGGTACGTGCCAGACAGTGAAGCTGATTACATTGACTGCACCTTAGCAAGAATCTTGACTGAGATAGGTCAATCCTGCTGATACTATAACTTTTATTGTGAACACAGCCTATATATATACAATTAATATTCATGTGCCTTAGGGACCATTCAGAACTAGATGTGAGTGGTAACTGATCCACGGCCTAAATGTGGTGGACCTACATAAAAAAGGAAGACTGCTTAATCCTGTAATGGTCTCTCCACCTCTGACACGCCTCTCCACACATCTGGTCAAATGGAGCGGAGATTTAAATACTGTGCCCCTTCAGGGACGATGCGTGTGGAGGCATGTAAGTGGTGGAGAGACCATTACAGGTTTAGCAGTCTTCCTTTCATGTAGGTCTGCCATATTTAGGCTGTGGACCAGTTAGCACTCGGATCTTCTCATTCTGAATGATCCCTTACATGTATAGTTCAGTCTCCAGTGGAGGGGGTGGGGGGTGGGGGGGTATTTCTCCATGACAGTTTTCTTAGTTTATTTTGATTAGATGAGATTTAATTGATGAAAGATTTGATTATTTATACCCAGTATATTATCAGGCAGTCACATTATAGTGAGCCCTTTTTTCTATAAGCTTGGTACATGGTAATGAGCCTCTTTGATAAGAGGCATGTTCCTATTAGTAAGCTAAAATGTGGAAGACCTTAATTACCACTATAGTGTGAATCGTTGCAAAGTTTATTTTAACATAGTAATAACAAACTGATAGATTTATTGTGTATTTTTCAGGCACTACAGAATCGGAAGTAAAGTCAGAGTAAGATTAGAAGATTTAGAATTAGCTGCAAAATTTAAGGTAGATAGCCATTTACTTTCTTCCTTCATCTCTTTGTCCCATCAGGGCCATAAGAAAAGGGTGCATACATGTCCTAAGTAATTCTGGTAAAGATCTGTAACTTAATGAATTAGATTGGCTGTACACAGTTGTATCTCCACTTCCGATTGGTTATAAATGTGATACAAGACAATTGTATTTCCACTTCCAATTGGTTATAAATGTGATATAAGATAATTGTACTAGTATCCTTCTTCAGATTGGCTATATATGTGATATAAGATATTTGTATCTCCACTTGGATTGGCTCTAAAATTTTTGTTTCCACTTTAGATTGGCTAAAAATGTGGTCTGAAACAATTGTATCTCCACTTGAGATTGGCTAAAAATGTGATATGAAACATTTGTATCTCCACTTCAGATGGGCTACAAATCTGTGACGGCGTTGGAAGCCAGTGGAGTGCTAATGGGGCCACTGGGAGGGAAGGATATTGAAGATCAGCTGGCCAACCCCTTGGGGACCTTGGACCCGGACATCCTGCAGGGTTTGGACTTGTTTGAAGTTTCTGAAGAGTCAGAAGACGTTGACCAGGAAATGGTGGATCAGGCATTGGAAGACTGGGGCAGAAGTGACAGGGACAAAGATGACTCGGTCAAAATTGACTTGGACGAAAGTGACTTGGACGAAGATGACTTGGACAAAGATGGCTGGGACAAAAATGACTTGGACAGTGATGAATGGGACAAAGGCTTGGACAAAGTTGACTTGGACATAGATGGCTGGGACAGTGATGAATGGGACAAAGGCTTGGACAAAGATGACTCAGTTGATGTAGGCAGTGATGGAGAACCAGACGCACCCAAAAGTTAGTCTGCTACGCTTGCTGCTTCATGGAACTGTTTTTCTTTATTTGTACATTATCTTTATTGTTATAAATAAAAATAGAAAAAAAATTAAAATATGTGGTTGGTGGATTGTTTCATTTCATTATTGGGATGTGTAATGGACTGCGTCACTAACAAATTTTTATACTTTAATAATTACCAAGAAGCTTACCATGTGATTAAGTGCCTTCTCTTAAAGTAACGGCAAAGAAGGAAATTAGAGCCAAACGATAGTAATGGAGGGAGTGAGGGCACGTGTTTTAAAACAAAATAGATCCATATCTGCCCCCACCAAACGAGGACGGAAAAGATTATTTTTTCCCTTTTAAGTTTGCTTTTATAATAAGCACCATTGTAGAAATTCTTTTTGATAATCTATGCAAAGTCATTAGGTTATGACGGACCAACCAGGCCAATGTATATAGAACTGTTTATTAGCATGTCTGTCACTGTAAAACGATGCAGTAGTCCTGCAATAAAGCGCCTCTCGGTGCGATGGTGAACTACGGCGATGATTATATCTTTTAAATGGGGGGAAACTGCGAGTTTTATCAATACTGTTTTCTGATGGCATAGATTTGTAAAATTAGAGCATTTATATTGAGTGGTAAAAAAAAAAAATTAAATTAAAAAAATGAAAAGCAGACTATGTTATGGATCTATTCGGTGCATTTAAAACACCACAAATGCTATTTATAAAAATATTTTAATGGATCCAAAATTATGTTTCTGAAAAACTGATAATTTTTCAATCTAGTCATTACCGTAGTTATTTGTTATGCTGTGTTCAGCTTCTCCGAGAGAGGAAATTTGTCTCTGATCAGTCGTACAACTGATATCTTTCAATTTAAGTTTTGCTTGACAAACTTAAGATTTATTGAGACTTGGGGATGTTGTTACCCCATTTGTTGAAACCGCCAGCCAAGAAGTTATAAAGTTATAACTTCTTGCGCCAGCCAACAGCCGCAAGGGGCCACCCAGGTCCAGCCCCGAGCTTCGTGAATGGAGGGTGGTATTTGAGTACGGTCAATTCTTATGAATGTGTTAGCGGTGACTGTCTCAACCGATGCAATGGATCTTTTAGCGCGAGTGCCGCTTGAATCGAGGTTTCCATTGTATGATTATTGTAAACCTGGAATGTGGTCGATATATGTAATAAACATATACCAAGTAATAGAAAAAACAAACAAAAAACGTGATATATGATATCTTCTCATTACACTGGCCATTGCTGTATATTTGCAGTAGATCGGATTCGAGCCCCACTTACATGTATCTGAGGATTCTTAGGATCTTTTATGCCCACTGTGTTGCTTTCTGATATTTAAGAAATCGAATTATGCCAACAGAGCGATGTTTTGTGATCGTTGTTAATTCTAACCCAGAAGTCGCGCGCTCTGCGTCCGAGAGTGGGTTGCGAGAAGGTGGTGAAAAAACGTGGAGCCCCCTTAACGCACCCTAAAGGTTTGAAACATGTCATTCAGAATATCAAGATGAAATTAAAAGTAATCCTGATGAAATTAAAAGCAATCCTGATGCTCCGTGTTTGGAAAAGTGATGTACTTGTCGGCGGTAGGCGCTCTCTCAATCACACGCGCACACGCGACCATACGGGCTTAGGTTATACCGATCTATACCTGCACGTGTAGGCGACGCTGCGAAGCACGCGCACTGCAAGCTATCCAAAAAGTCACAGCCAGGTCTTCAGACCATGCCTGTACCTCTCTCTCTACACAAGGCCGCTGTTGGATCCAGCTACCCCGCGGTGATATATCAGTGCCAGCGACGGTTGCAGGGTTTTTGGCAATAAAGAACTCTTAACAATCATTATGGAGGCCGCGGCGCACAATTCCCACATTTGTGAGTGTGTGGAGTAACAAGATCCGCGTGCGACCAACGCTCAGGAGACCTCTACAGTGAACTTAACATACGCCGCCAATAAAACGCTCTGCGGGTGCGTGACGGGACTGTGCCGCTTGCTAACGTAACACGGAACAACCACAAGGTCGATGAATTGATTGACGGCAAACCACGACACTCAGGCAGCGGAGCTGGCAGCTTTCTTGTAACTTTGTGCTGTAGACTATATGATAGAGAAAGACGTGTTTATGTCCTACAAGGTTACAGGGGCCCGGTTACACGTTTTCTACGGTGGCTTGAGTGAACGCACATACTTTGTGATGGGCTTACACTTCTGTCAGTTCTCTCTCTCTCCTTTTTGCCGTTGCCTTTGCATATTTTCTTATGTCATTCAGAATATTTTGTAAAATACAACTTGTTTGTCCAAAGAAAAGACTGGCACCTCTCTCTTTGTAAATATTTCCAAAATATTTGTCTATATATATTTTTTATTTATGTTTGTCTTCCATTTATTTATTTATGTATCTATGTATTTATTTATTTATTTACTACCTGTACCACAATGACAATTAATTACCAAATGCATATGCTATAAACATGACGACAACAATATACCTAAAATTAACATATACCGCCAAAGCCATACATGGAGCACCCAGATATCACCGCTTGCCGACCTCGAGACACTGCAAGCTGGGAAAGGATAACACCAGATCAATTCCGGGCATAATGAAACCCTGTGTAACCAGTCAAATCTCGTTATATTTGTTGACAGTCTACGCACGTGTTCAACACAATGCTGGCGTCCCACAGTGTGGTTAGATTAACCCGCCGTGGAGAGAGCAGCCAGTGGCCCCGTGGAGTGTTGACCAGTGCTGGGGAAAGATGGGGTTTTTAGGGCACGTCCCCAATGAAACTATCGTTCTACGTCGATCGTTCCAGTTCTGTGGGGACTCTGCCTGAATGCAATCACATAAAATGACTGAAACACCCCTTTGACCTGCTAGGGGGTGATTGACGCTCATGTGCACTTCGTTTTGAGTGGGACTGAATGAACACAAAGTTGGATCGATCTAACTAGAACGTTAGTTTCATTGGGAATGCACCCTTACACATGCTGGGAACCTATTTAAGCGACAGGGATGTTTGTAACCGTAGAACCATTTTTTATTTGCTCAATTATGAGGTCGATTCATTGTATTTCAGTGGCATGGGGACAGTACAATAACCACAGTTCTCCTAACTTCATAGGGCTTTTATCCCCGTTTCCGTGTTCTAGCCGCTGTCCTGTGACACCAAGGAATCTGACACCTTGACAGTTTATGTATCATAGTTGTGCACGTGGACGTAGTTAAGTGGAGAGTTAACGCGTGCTAGGACGCCCTTGCAGTCACTCATGTCCCATTAGAGGAAAATGACCTGTCCTTAGACCCTTGACCCGAGAATGTATACAAATACATACACACACTAAACATTGCAGGGACGCAGCAAGGAGCCGGTGTATAACAGGAATGGTAGTCAACTAGGAACCATTAGCCCGTTCCCTTTTAGACTTTGTACAGGTGACTTTTGTCCCATATACTAGCCCCAACACTGTGACTAAACCCCAGCCTATACTTATCGTATGGGACCCCCGGACTTCCACTCCCAGGACTTCCATTTCCGTCACACCGGATTGAAAGCTGAATGCTACACTGGTGGTGGCACGGTTATTGCAGTTAAATTCATGATAAACGTTGTATAATGCACCACGTAACTCTCATTAATTTATATTTCGTGGTAAAAATCCATGCTGAAGTCAGTCGACGTGGTTCTGGGCGGCGAACAATATGTTTGTGTTAAATTCCAACATTTAGTAAGCTAGGAGGAGGAGGTCCAATCCAAATTAAAATAAGTGCGCAATATTACCGCGTTAACAAAAACATCCTCCGTGTCAGCAGTGAACAAGTTATCGTGGGAATAGGCCAGCGTTCAGCTTCCCAACTGGTTTTCCATTCGTTTAAGGGTTAAAAACATTTGTTAAACTTTTCAAGTAGTCGAGTAATGTACTGATCCCAGTGAGTGAGTCACCGTGTAAGTCGAAAGAGATGGTAATATCCCGATCCTGGTCCGGGAGCCATACCCCGAGTTTGCAGTATCGACTGTGGACAGATGTGGACTGATTATTTAGAGGTGAGTTGACATTAAAACTGAAAACTCGGGGTAGGGGCTGAAAACCTGGTTAAACGTTCGCCGGTGTTGATATCCCGGTCCTGGTCCGGGAGTCTTGGCCTGGTTACACGTTGTCTGGTGTTTTGATATCCCGGTCCTGGTCCGGAGACTAGGCCTGGTTACACGTTCACTGCTGTTGATACCCCGGTGCTGGTCCAGAATGTCAAGTGACATTACGGACTGGCCGGTTAGACAAAAACACCTAAATTACTTTCTTTACGTGCATGTTTTGGATAACAGATAAATCTCCAGTGTTTAATGACTAAATTCCTTTGAATTTACACGTGTACTTTTACTGATGGCGTAATCACTGCGATTATGAGATAAAAAATTTCAAAATCGGTTTTTCAAATCGCTCCTTTGCCTGAGCACCCACGAACACCTTTCCACGCCAATTTAATGAGTAATTAAAAACCCAAACCACTGAGTAATCCAAAACCATGCCAGCGATTTTTCTTTAAAAATGCATTTTTTTCCATGAAACATTGTAATTAATTAGGGCCTCAAACTCCACGACAAAACGACGGCACGGGCGAACGCTCATGCTTATCAGCGGGAACTGTAAACGCCGATCTTACATATTTTTTGAGGTTTTTTTTATTGCTTTTAGTCGGCAAAATGGTGGACGCATTATTGAATAATTAGATGCACGAAAAACCTGACTTTCGGTGTTTTGATGGTCATAGGGACCATTCCCAGACCCTATCGTACTAACTGTGGATCGATCTATCTCCGAGGGAATCAATATAAGCGGCTTAGATGTCTGTCATGCCAACTGAAGCTGCTAGGGGATAATTAACTATCGTTTAGCAGCTTCAGTAAGCTTGCCAGACATCTTTAGAAGCCCCTTCATCTGAAAGCAATTTAGCGAGAAAATCCTCGAAGATGGATCGATCCTGTTAGATCGATCTAGGTATGGGAATCCAGTCATAAACCCGTCTGTAACTTTAATTGGGGGAGTGTTCGTGGGGTGCTCGTCTTCATATTTACCAAGTCAAGAAGCACGTGCCGTTTCGTCAAAAAACGGATAGTGTCACCTTTTCGTATTATCCCACATTAATTAAAAACCAATTTTCTAAATGGCAAGGACTATGTAAGCTAATAACAAAGACACAGACTGCGGATAAAGTCAAAACCCAGAAAAACGTGCAAACATTTATTATCCTTCAAATGCCTAATCTTCTAGCACGCTTTGTTTAATGCGTTTGTATGTATCGTTCTACCGCGGTACAGATGAGAACGTAAATAATCGTGAAATAATAGGCGTTCATGATAAATGATTGCTCGCCACTTAAACAGTGATAGATAAAACTATAGGGGAAAATAAATCTTGAAAGGTTTGAAGCACTGCAGAAAGTAAACCAACGTTTGTGTAAAGATAATGTGATAGCGAAATGGACCGTCACGTATAGCTGATATTAGTTGGCATAACGGATGAGAGAAATACTAGAAGTAAGGGGAGGATCTCAAGGAAAATAGGGGGATAAGAAGCCATTAAATCTCTATGTTAATTGAGCAACTGCTTGTACTTGTGTAAATGATGTCAATTTCCACTTGGTCAAAGTTATAGGCTGCTGACGTTTATCTGACGCCCTGTATTTGTGAACCCGTAATTGTTTGCTTGTTACGGTAATTCGATTATTCTTACCCTTAAAAGCTTTTGGTGGTAAGCAAAGATTTTGATTATAGTTAAGTTAAGAAAAACGTGTCATTTACTGTGCGTAAGTCAATGGATAGATAAATATGAACTAAAATAAAATTGATAAGTGCATAAACTCTTGGCTATAATTTAATTGTTATTGTTTTATTTGAATGCAATATAAAACTAATCATTTTAAGACATAAAAATATTATAATTGTCTCATTATTTAACATACAAGTATTATTTTCAAATTTACGGAAGGATATTTCTGAACTAAGCAAATTAACTGTTACAAAATATATTTCTTCATCACATTGATTACAAAGAAACAGAAATCTTTGAAGAAAAGCAGGGCGCGTCAGCGTTCTTTAAATTAATTTCAAAGTCGGCACCGACTTCGTCAATTAGGATGGCGGTATCTCAACATTTAATTCAATGTCTAAACTCTTACATCAGCTTCAAACAGAAAATCCAGTTTATATTTTTGAAGCTTCCTTTGAAGAACCGTGAAGCAGGGCAGATAACGTCAAGTCACTGTAACCATAACACACTCGTTCTCAATATTCGCCGACATCTGACGCAGAAATCCTATCTGTTCCCATCCTAAACACGCATACTTTCATAAAGGGCACAACACGAAGATTCGGATGCATATAATTACTCCCAATTTACCACGTGTGTTTTTTGCCTCCGAGGCTAAAAAGTAAATAAATACGATTGCCAGCACACCGTGGGAAGCAACACCCGAGTGAAGAAGGAACGCTGAATCTTCTTTTAATTTCTTCCTTGCCTCCTCCATTTGTGAACATTTGGCAATTATTTCCAACGTAATGCAAATACGTGGACTAGTTTCGCTTTAGGAAAAATAAATCATTTGAGATACATAAAGTAAATAAACATAAATCAAAAATGTAATTAAATTATGAATGATTAAGTGGCATTCGACACCCGGGTTATTAATTACGCAAACAAACGCCACGACCCGTGCCACATTACGTAACTTGCACGTGCCACGCATTTGTCAACGTACAACAGACGATGTAACACTGTGAAAAGAGCCCTTCCTATCAGGAAATCTACCGATAATTAAATCCTGCAATAGTTTTGAAGCAGAGATTGCTCTAAAACCACAAGCCACAGAGTGGGCTTTTCGTCACCCTATTTGTGAACACAGACGCGTGATTTTTCAATACGTTTCCGACTGGAAACAGACATTTTCAAAGAAAGTGATGGGAGAGCATCAGCCACAAAGACACCAGCCACGTGTAACAATCCCCTCCAAAAATCTCAAAAACCGGCAGCCCGCAGCAGACCCATGAGTTCAAGCCAAAAACCCACTTCAAACGCCGCACTTTCATTTACATTCCGGTTGGGCGGTCATATTTATCATTTATTTGTCACTAAAAATAGCTTCATGATCATGTATTCAGTAGTAAACCATATCAGCCCCCGCCCCCTCGCCCCCCCCCCCTTTCACCCTAGCTCTCCACCCTGAGGTTTTCCTGGACTTTACGCGTTTCACACGGCCTTGCGCTACCATAACGCAGTGCTACTCTCCCATGTAGAAATTGGTTGTCAAACAAAAGCTGCTCATCTGGTAAGAATGGGCGGTCCGATTTCACGGGGAGAAACAGACGGGAGACACGTGCACGGTGACAATTGTCCGTATTGATTGACAGCTTGATTGAAGTGATAAACATGCTATTGGAGGCTCTACAGGATGTAGCTAATGTAATAATCTGGAATGGAAGGAAATAGTAGGAAATTGATGCTTTAGATTCGAAGTCAATGAAGGCGAAGTTAAATTAGAGATAAGATGTGCTAAATATTTGTAAACATGGGTATAAATATCTATTTCCCTTGCAACCGCCCTAGAATGAAGACAGCAATCTACACAACCTATTTGATTATAATATATCATGCTGATTTTACATGTTTTGTTGGGTGTTATCTGTTTAATTCATATACGATCACTTGACATCATAAGAATTAAATCTTTGTAGCTTTATGAATATACCGAGAAAATACTTTTGGTAATAGTTAAAAGATTAATCACATTAAGGAGGGGATAAACAACTTCCGTAATATAAAAGAATTATTGCCAATAAGTAAAAGTGGAAGTGCAGTCGGGATGTAGACTGAATCTCCTGTTTCCCAATCGCCTATGGTGATCGACTTAGTTGAAGTAATCAACTTACATGTATAAGATTATGTACGGAAGGTCATTAAAATTCACTAATTAGTTCATTTAAAGACAAAATACATTTGAGTTAATGCTTCACACCAGCCATCAAAAATCACAGGGCAACGTGAATTAAACATTTACTTTTACAAACCCTTTACCAACCTTTTTAATCTACTCAAATATCTCATTGCGATCTTTAGTTGCAATGTTGTTAAAACACGGAACGCTCATATTACCCTGTCGGCCAAACGCCTCTCCCTAAAATATCGGGTCATTTTACCAGTTGCGTGGAATTCACTAGGAGCAGCGTTTCCCACGACCCGCTCGTGTGAGCCGCGCGTCCCGCACACCTGCGGTGCCCGTCAACGGCATACTCAATGGCGCCTTCACTTCATGCCTATATCGCACGCGGGGTATTTTCCGCGTACCGTTGTATCTTACCCTGTGAATGAAGCCTATACTCCTTTATGACTTTTCTCGTTAATTATAAAACGATATTTTGATTGGATTTCAACTGATATTTTTTTGAGTTGTTTACTAGTTTAGAATGCCGTTTATGTGGGCTGTGTAATGCCGGTAGTCGTACAGAGCGTTGGTTATACAGCGTCTGGCGATGCCATCTGGCGTGCTATTAATAAGGCACGACCAATGATTGAACGGACTGATATCAGATATTAATGACTGAACAAGAACACTTTTGTGGGAGACACTTGCGGTTTAACAGGGACATTTTACAACTTTGCATTTAAGAGAAAAAACAAGGTGAATGTTTTCTATACTTTGACATGTATCGAGTAATTTGTCAGTGGTTAAAAATCTATTTTATGTAGCGACTGTAAGGTAGAAAATTGAAGTTTGCAGTTCAGTATGTATTTTATTGTTTATTCTCCCTAAGAAATTGGACCATTGTCTAGGAAAGCGCGCGCTAAGTCAACACGAGCCTGCCTGTCAATCACGTGCGGTGTATTTCTGGGAGGTGTGTCTTTCACACACTCGCCACTGCTATATGTTTAGAGCGTGGGAATCCCCAGTTAGTTTCAATCTAATTCCTGTCTCAGGAAAGAGCCGAGTTTGCAGACGAAGGTTCCTGCTTCCTGGAAAAATCAGCAGAGATGACAAACGTCAAAAGAAGCGCCAGCGACAGCGACGGAGACGACGTGTTCGACGATTCCCTGGATGTCGGGTGAGGAAGTCCGCCTTTAGTTTTGGTGTTAATCGGATATATGTGATTTGTTTTCAGTCACTTTCAGCGACACGCGCGCACGTGACCAAGGACGTTGGGTGTTAATGCCTGCACGCGTGCACGACCTACTGCCCCACCGGCGTCTACCCTAGCTAGTGTGTCCGCGTGTACAACCAACGGCACTGTCGTCTGCAGCTTGTAAAGTTCTGAACGCGAACCGTAGTCGGCTTTCATAAGAGATGCTCTTTTTTATATAGAAATAATATGTAGGTAAATTGATGGGAGACCCGACCACATTCGTTGCGGAAATGTGAATATCAATTTATTTGCGCGGACGTTCTGGCAACGGTAGGCCTACATAGAGAAAATTATAGGACGTATTTATATCCCGTTAATTTCTAAAAAAAATTAACGCAAAAGGCGTCGGAACATAAACTGTTAAAAAACTCAACATGTTGAAAGCTTGGCTCGAAATCGATGCTAATTCCGGACAGACGTTTTATGTATTGTGCTCGTGCTGTCGGGGCGGCGTACAGCTTTAGCTGGCTATGGTGTAACCGCGTCCTGGCTACAGCAGTTTTTGAACTTCAGTGTGGCAAGGATGCACTGTGGTTGGGGGATAATTGATTCAGGAAACGAAATATGTCGGAATACGAAGAGAGAAACGAGTACACTTCTTAGTATAAGTGGACATCGCAGTCGAATATTTTACTTACTTACAGAAATAATGTAAAATTGACGCATGTTCAGCATTGTTCTCACAGCAACCATTTCCGATAACTTGTTTTCACTTTCCCTGTATTGCCAAGCGGTGTTATTTATATTATCTGAAGACCCCTGTGTGTGCCTTCATGTAAAATTAACAGGTCCTTTTTATAAGCAAAAATGTAAAACATATTTGTACTGCAGCGTTGTTTACAAGCACTTTTTCAGTGTGTTTTCGTTTAAGTCTAAAGTCTGGACTCTGGTGAAAATTTCCCATGCTTCTGTAGAACCACCCTGAATTTCATTATTCTAAATGATAAATGCCTTGAATATATCAGTGAAGTATAGGAACATTGCAGTAGCAAGTATATGTTTTTTACTGTGATCTCAGGGTGTAAAATAGTCGATGTTGCAACCACGATAAAAATGGAATTTGTTCTTTGGTAGCAATACGGGCACATTGACAGTGTAAAACATTAACAAGATCGGGCCAGCTGGTCCCGCCGTGGCTCCAAAATAACACTAAACAGAACCGACGTCCCGGAATAACAATAACAAATCTACTCGAGAGTTAAACTGAATTTTTTTCTTCTTCTTTTTTTATTTAGCTCTCCATCGCAGAGTTGCACCATGAGCGACAGGAAGAAAAGAAGAGGGGTAAGTTTGCCATCGATAACATTTCTGATATTTATTTTTACAGACACTTGTTGTTGAGTTTAATTACTGTGTTAATTGGCAAAATACTACTGCGGACTTGTCTTAGTTGATTTAACACTGTTCAAATCTGCATGTATAGCAATAACGTCAAGAGGGTCAGAGTATTGAGAGAAATGAGGCAGCCAATAACTAACCGTTTCCCGAGTTAGTGACAGGGCCAGATCATTGTATCACGTGACCCCTGGTAACCGTTTTCTTTATTGACATACGTGACGGGCACTTTACGAGGACAGCCAAAACATTTTGTGGAAAAACGGACACCGCAATCGTCCATAATTGGCGATACTTTTAATGTCAACTGACCGGGTCCAAAAAGACGTTCATGGCATTCCATTCGATAATCAATATTTCAAGGAAGTAATCAGTAGTTCAAAGTTGCGATCTATGTCAGATGGGGGTATTGAAGGTTGCCACAGCGCACTTGACTCTGATGTTCGCTGTCGACTTGTGGTATGATAAAAGTGGTCCGGTCTGTGATGTTTGCCGCAATATTGACAGAGGGGATAAATACATTCAGTATCAAGTGGGTTCTGCCGGCAGTTAAAAAAAGAGGAAAAAAACAAGATTCAGGCCCGTAGACGAGGCGGGGTGTGAGGGGGGCGAAAGAAACCCCCCTTTTTTCTGGGGAAGGGGTCCCCTCTGGGGAATATTTTTATAATAAGGACACGAAGGGTTCATGGTTAAGGTCCCTTTTTTNCCCATGCTTCTGTAGAACCACCCTGAAATTCATTATTCTAAATGATAAATGCTTTGAATATATCAGTGAAGTATAGGAACATTGCAGTACCAAGTATATGTTTTTTACTGTGATCTCAGGGTGTAAAATAGTCGATGTTGCAACCACGATAAAAATGGAATTTGTTCTTTGGTAGCAATAGGGGCACATTGACAGTGTAAAACATTAACAAGATCGGGCCAGCTGGTCCCGCCGTGGCTCCAAAATAACACTAAACAGAACCGACGTCCCGGAATAACAATAACAAATCTACTCGAGAGTTAAACTGAATTTTTTTCTTCTTCTTTTTTTATTTAGCTCTCCATCGCAGAGTTGCACCATGAGCGACAGGAAGAAAAGAAGAGGGGTAAGTTTGCCATCGATAACATTTCTGATATTTATTTTTACAGACACTTGTTGTTGCGTTTAATTACTGTGGTAATTGGCAAAATACTACTGCGGACTTGTCTTAGTTGATTTAACACTGTTCAAATCTGCATGTATAGCAATAACGTCAAGAGGGTCAGAGTATTGAGAGAAATGAGGCAGCCAATAACTAACCGTTTCCCGAGTTAGTGACAGGGCCAGATCATTGTATCACGTGACCCCTGGTAACCGTTTTCTTTATTGACATACGTGACGGGCACTTTACGAGGACAGCCAAAACATTTTGTGGAAAAACGGACACCGCAATCGTCCATAATTGGCGATACTTTTAATGTCAACTGACCGGGTCCAAAAAGACGTTCATGGCATTCCATTCGATAATCAATATTTCAAGGAAGTAATCAGTAGTTCAACGTTGCGATCTATGTCAGATGGGGGTATTGAAGGTTGCCACAGCGCACTTGACTCTGATGTTCGCTGTCGACTTGTGGTATGATAAAAGTGGTCAGGTCTGTGATGTTTGCCGCAATATTGACAGAGGGGATAAATACATTCAGTATCAAGTGGGTTCTGCCGGCAGTTAAAAAAAGAGGAAAAAAACAAGATTCAGGCCCGTAGACGAGGCGGGTGTGTGAGGGAGTCGAAAGAATCCCCCTTTTTTGCTGGGAAAGGGTTCCCTCTGGGTAATATTATGAATAGGTACACGAAGGTTTCATGGTTAAAGGTCCACTTTTTTAGAAAAAGAACACCCCTTTTGAAATTGCTGGCTGAGATTTTAATCCAGAGAAAAGGCTGCATTTCAACTGACAATAGACTCTCTCATACTCATTCCCTTCTTCTTTATTATTAGATGACTCCCTGCGTATTTCTTTCTCTTCATTATAATATGGTGTCTCGCCTCTCTCTCTTTTCTTCTTCTTCTTCTTCTTCTTCTTAGATGATGCTCTGTATTTTTATTTCTCTGTTTTATAATATGGTGACCTCTCTCCTTCCCCCCTCTCTCTCTCCCCTTAATATCAATTCGAGAACACAAGGAAATTAGTCTTTACTCAATGAAAATAAATCCGTCTTCTCTCACAAGCTATAACGCGGCTACTCACAGGGTAAAACACGCTTAAATCAATTGGCATAAAACTCCAGGAATTTCTGCCTTTATCACCAAAAGCAGTAATTTCCCCCCACAAACCCACGTAACCCTGTCGATTAATATCCCACCCCACCCTTTTTGATAGCTGCCACAGCAGTGTTATCAGATCAGAGCACGGCTCTCTTTATGAAACGCCGAGCGTTCCCACGCCGCTACAAATGTCTATTTTTACCAGCAGTAACATCCATCTGGGCTAAATTTGCCCGTGCTTCTCTCCCGACCAGAAAAAATATTATCAATATTTTCATCTCAAACCGCACTGTAATGGGACAATGTTTGGAGAGAATACTTCGAGAGTAATTAGTCTTCAATTTGTCTGAACTTTTGTACGTGAAGGCAGGTGATTGGATGAAAAAAGGATGCCTAAACAGTTGATGTTAGTTAGAATTAAATGATTTCATCTGGGCTGTTTTTGATTTTTTTTCTAAAAGAGATAGTCGGTTGCAGGTCGTGGTTATTTTTATGACCACAAACTGACCATAGACTGACCATAGACTATGTGTTTGTGTACTTACGCCAAGCGTAGCTGACCACTTATTTGGTACCGCAACGCATTTTAAGAAAGACATTTTATCTAAATTACATACGTATATCTTCACGGGCTGATTCCTATATGACGTATCATATCACAATTGCAATTTATTGAAAATCATCTCTTACCCAAGCTCTTAATCTTCTATCTATTCGATTATTAAATACAAGAAACAGGACAGAAAACAAAATACATATTGAAGAAGTTTGGCTTGACAACTGTTACATATTGTGATTGTGAGCGTGTGCAGCACGCGCCACAATCACGCACGTGTTAAAAGGCATGCACGTGCAGTGCGTGGTGGTTAAAGTAAGAAAGTGTGAAAGGAATTTGTTTTATCTTGGAATAGGCGGGATAGACTCGAGTTTGTGATGTGGACTTCTTTGAAAAATGAAACCAGCAAAAGTAGACAAGTACAAGTGAATAAAACACCAGCCGAGTGAAAGATCCTCATTAGTGTCAAGTCTAAAACAAGGATTGGAGAACACACTGTAGTTACATAATGAGCGTAGCACTTGTTTGTTTAGCGAAGCAAACATATCATAAAATAAAGAGAAAAAGCAGTCAACCGCGGCTTCATCTCCGCCCTGGCACGTTTTCCCAAATCATCCCGGATCAATCCAATCCCACCCGGTCACTTTGAAGAAATATTGTTTTTACCGGAGGGCGAAGCTGTCGTTAATTCCTTGAGCCGTTCATCTGGAGCGTCAACACGACATGTTAACACGGGTTTCTTCTTCTTCATCCCCCCTCCCCTCCCCCCCCACCCCCCCCCCCCC